GATAGGCCTGAAGCTAGTTTATTTTCACATGCTGAATTGTCCATACTCATAAGCACTCCCTATTACATTACGCATTTGTGTGATATAGTGGAAAAGGCACAAACACTGAAAAGTGTCAAAACCATGCTTTTCCTCTTTGTTAATCCATCTTTTATGTAACTGAATTTATAAACATTAAAAATAATAAAATGCTGCTATTGTGAGAATACTACAATTAGGTCTACACGCAGGCATTAAGTAAAGTATGTTTTCCTCCTCAAACACAACTCCTACTTTAAATCAAAGCCAACTGATATTCTCAGTCACGCTAGTAAGCAGCAAATCTGAAAATCTTACAAGATTAAATATTTCAGTGGTTTAGAAATAAATTTCAAATTAGTAAGTCACCCTATTTATCACAACACTGCCAGACAGGATGTAACACTGCCACAGTGCAAAGTAGCTGCTTCTGTCAATTCCACATTTCGTAAGTAAATTAGTTGCGATTTCTCCTTAGATTATTAATGGGATTAGAATGTAAAGAACTACTTCAGATGAATGTGTACTTTTACATCTTTGCTATGAAAACTAGCATCTTAGTTTATACAGTTAATAGAAGGAAGCTGGCAGTAAATAGTGTAATAATCATATAATATACACAGCAGCTTAAATACCATGTTTAGTGGCAAAACCTATTAAGTGAGTTCTTGTCCTACTTTGGACTCTCCTGTCAATAAATATAAACAAAATGAAAAGTCAGTAATTACTAAGCACTGTTCTGAAGGGTTTGTTTGGTTTTTTTTTAAATTCTTTGAAAGCAGCATTATGAATGAAAGTTGAGCATTAGCAGAAGACATCCACCTGGCAGAGAATTCAGTGAGACTAGGCACATGTCAAGACAGGCATTTACCAGGAAAGCTTCAGTGCAGTAGCATACAGCAAGGAAAAGGATACAAAACTAGAGTCAGATGCGGATTTTATTCCATTCCCTACTAACACTAACCTGCTAAGTGACTGCAGGCAAGCCTACACTCCTTCACTGCTTTGCATCTCAGATGGATAAAACAGGGATTAAAAAATGACTGTTCCTTGTTCTGGGGTGTGTGATTAGAGTATGGTTTACGTACCCCACCAGACAGGACACAAGCATATGAATAAAGCAATGCTTGTGACTGCAAATTATTAACAATGTTATTATTGAGAGAATAATGTGCTTTTTTTTCTTTCTATTCTAAGCCATGTAACAGCAGTCCATCGAGCTGTTCTTGAAATCAGAGTAATCCTTATGTTACTTCAGGTCTTACCCCTTCTGAAACTGTCAAGGGTGACTGCTGTGCTTTTTGTGAAATTCACATATCCACTCAGACCAAGCCCACCACAATGCTCTCTGACAGAAACACTGCATTATTACTGATCCTTAAAAAATAAATAATAAAAAGGAAGTAAGTCCTAATAAACTTTTGCAATAAAACAAAATGAAAAAGCTTGTGACAATAATACTGCAGGAAAAGAGGGCAGAAGGGACAAGGTTAATACTGTGCAAGTCATAAAAGTTAACTTTTTCCCGTTTCTTCTCAAGAATATTTTGAAATACATACAACTATTATTTCAGTGCAGCTTGATGCACTCCTAAACAACAAAGAAAGCAAATTAAGGTTACAGTAAGGTAAAACACTATCCATATCACTCAAAAGACCCCAACAAAACTACAACAAAAAGCCAGAAACAAACAGAAAACAAAACAACAAAACTTAATTCACTCAGGAAAACTGTCCCAATGTATGAGCACCATATGACTTAATGACACAGGGAAGTACTCTTCCCTGTAAAGACCCTTAGCCTCCATTTGCAGGTTGCAAAAGGACATGCAGCAGTACTTTCATGAGTAAACTATCTCTGCATCTGCCAGTGGGCCACAGTAATGCTGCTGACTCCATCAGCAGCTGCATTAGGCCACCTCCACAGCAGGGCACAGGAAGTCCAGCTGAGGTTCAGAATTTGGAAAGTGGCTTCTGTTTCCACCTTTCTCTACCCAAGAGCCACCTTCAGATAAAGAGGGAGGGCTGAACACTACACCTGCCATGTACCACCCAAAAAGAAGTGATGCCCAGATTTCACTGCAGGTGCACTTACAACCTTCACACTAAGGCAGAGACTTGCACACCTGAGGTCTCTTCATCCTTACCTGCACCTCTCCCACCACATGCCATAGAAGAGTAACTGTCCTCAACTCGCTTGGAGAAAACTTCCTTTCTTCACACCACTCTGCTACCAGCTCTTACGCCAGAAGACTGCTCTACCTAACACCACAGTGACTGAGCTTCAGAGACAACACGAATACTCATCCCAAAGATGAATGCTAGCAACCTGGAAGAATAAGCTCTGAGTGTGAGCAACTGTATCAGGGAATCTAACAAGACTTGCCTTCTGCTTAAAGATATTCACATGTGTACAAGATCACAAGCTATGGAACCATGAATTTACAAACAAGCTGTATTGAGATCATTCTGTATGAAAAGAAAAAATATTAGCTATAAAATAACTGCATTATTGCCTCTGATATTTTATGTAGAAATCTGACATTTAGTATCTTTAATTATTCACACAACCGCTATTAAGGAGAAAGGTTTTCTTCCTTGAATGGGAAAATAAACATGGGCAAATTCCTCTTACTGTCACTCCTACACTGCTCCTAAATAAACCTTCTGCTGAAACCAATGAAAGTTTTGCAGGCAATGAGTTTATGGCAAGCAGCCCCCAAAAAACTCAAATGCATCAAGGACAAGCTGCTTAAATATTTTGAGTTTACTGTGACACAGAAAAGTTATGTTTCTGCTGAATTATGTATCTGCTTGAAATGGTTTATCAACTTGCTGTGCCAAGAGGGACAGCAGTCTACAACAAACTTTTGAGACCATGGCCCCATTTTTTAAGCATTTACAAGTCCCCTTGCTAAGTGGCTCCCCCTCTTTTAGCTTGTGACACACCAGCATGGCACCTGGCACTTGTTAACCAAGACCAGAACCCAGGTGTCTCTCCTGTGTGTCAAGACTGAATTACTAAACTTCATTCATGAGTGGTTACTGAAAACTGAACAATAAAAGAAATCTTAGCTTTACCAAAATAAAAGCTCCCTAAAGTAAATGGAAGTTTCTATTCATGGGCAAATCTAATGAAATCTCTATGGTCCCCTTAACTAGGCACACTCTTTTTATTAACTTTTTTAAAGCTATGAGAAAATCTGTTTATCTACTTCCTCTAAAGCTTCTATATTACACCTTTTGCTACAAAAGGGTACCCTACCCTGTTAATTTGTAATTTGTTCAACATCAAGTAAGACCTACATTTATAGTATGAGGCACAAAATCAAGGTCCACTCCTCTCAAAGTTGTGGGGAGATTATGACCACCACTTCATATAACCAACCAAGTTTCCATGTATCCAAAAGACTTCATCATGTAAAACTAAAACTAGATATTCACTGAAGATACTACCTGAATCAAGGCTCCTCTGCTATTCTTGTTCAGCACATTTTACTATTATTTCAAATAGAGAAAAAGTCTTTGGCACTTACAGCACTCTAATCTGACTCTTACCTGAAAACACAGAAAATTAAGTTCAGAAATCAGTGCATTTGTATTCAGCTCTCAACAACAGTGCAAAGCCTATCTGCCTGTTTTCAAATTTTCCAATGCGATTTTACTTCACAAAAATTCTTGCACCAATTACTCTACACAGAACAGGATCCTTGTCAGTAATGCTGTAAAACCGAAAGCAGTATTCTCCTAAGGAACTAGCATGACACAAAGAATTTCAGTAATTTAATTTGCTGTTTATACTCTCAGACCTACACAAACCAATCTCACTACTCACAAAATCCGAAAAATTAAAATTCAGGTGTAATTCTACAGCAACTAGAGAACAGGCAGAGTTCTCCCTTCAAACGATCTCCCCATAGTGGTTATCCCAGCCTTAAGACTAGTTCTGTGGCCATAGTATCACACAAGACCAGCTGCTCCCAAGAGCCGCCTTCGAGCCAGCATGTTTTTAGGACCATCGATTACCCTACGTCTGCTACATAACGCCTGAAAAGGTCAAGAGTATGTTATTAATCATTCGCATGTATGAATACTAAGCGCACCCCAAATACATGTCCTGCCTTGTTTTTAATTATGTACACAATAGCACCATAAAAAATAAATCACCTCCCACTTCCCCGTTTTGGGCTAAATGCAGTCCAGTGCCACTGCAGGTGACTGTATGAGAAGTGCTTCAAGTGCCACTCGTTGTATGCCACATCGACGAATGTGACCCCACAGATTTAGAATCTCTCCTTTAAACTGCTGCTTCTACTTCAGCTCCAAAGGTGTCAAAAGTTTTCCCAGTGTACAGCTTAAAAAATAGGAATACTAGTTAATTAGTCACTAAGATTCATCTTTTAAATTTATAGGTACCAGCATTAATCAATGCCAAAAGTAGTAACACAGAAAGACCATGGATGGAGTCTTAATTAGTTCCCAGTTTACGTGTTAAAACAGAACCAAGTCCTATTGTAGTAGTATAACAGTTCTGCTGAACTTCTCACTGATTCTTGACCTCCAGAGATTTCCAATTACCTATCCTGTTTATATTTTCACATTTTTTCCTACCACTGAATTTTAAAAGTACTTGACATTCTCATTAAGTTTCTGACCTGTGGGTTATACTTTCCACATTTTAATGTTACTTTGGTTTAAAACTTTTGCCCTAAGTCAATCAGCTGATTATCTGTACAAAGCAAGCTTTAAGTTGAGAGGGAGATCTAAATATGCACAGTCTTTCGATTCTCAAGTTATTCATACCCACCCCTTCATACAAAACTTTGTAACCTTGCAGTTGCTACGAGCACCCCAAGAAGACATGTCTCCTGAGGTGCTAGAACCTGAACAATCATCTTCCATGTAAGAAGTGGCAGCACGAGGAGCTCTATCTTATCAACAACAACCGAGTCCTTTTTCCATGTGTACAGTTTATGTACTTACCCAGGGAGGCAAATGGTAATCACAGACAGACGAAGATGAAGCTGTCTCAAAGCCTTTGTCATGTGATAGTGACCTATAAAGTATCAAATAAAGGCACATCATCAGCACACCATGATTTTACAATATTGCAACTCGCCACAACATCAACAAGAGAGAACCCAAAACTTGAAACTTGCTTCCTCTTCACCCCCGCCCCAGAGAAGTTGTCATTAAAACAAGATGACAGTCGCAGGAAACACTAAGGAGCAAACAAAAGATGCACCGTGTCTTTAAAGGGCATTAGGACTGGGCAAATGGAGCAAATCATCAGTGTGTGCATCAGCAGGCTGGGTTATTTCTCCTCTATGTCTCTCGCACACACGGATGCATGTTTATGCGCACACACACAGACACATATACCTACACACAGGGATGCATCACGCAATTATTTACGTGCACACAGAGAGAAACACGCAGGCATTACCCAAATAAAAGGCAGAAAGTTGATCACCATCTGCAAGGAGGCATACATAACAATAACCCCGGGGAACTTACACAAGTGAGCGATCAATCCCCGCGCGTGGGTAAGCCAAACAACGCGAAATTAACAAGAATAAGCCGCCAGGCTGCAGGTACGAGATCCACCCGGGGAAACAGACAGACACACAGACCGACCGACCGAGCGAGGGACGGACGGAAGGCAGCAAGGCTGTTAACAGTTGCAGGTAATGCCCATTCCCCCCCCGGCCCCGAAGTCCTGAGACCCTCCACCGCCGCAGCCCGCC